GTCTGAGTCTTGTTTATATCCATGAATCATCTCACCACTCCAAGTTAATGCTTTATTAACCACAAGAATGAAACAATTTGTAATCTTCAAAATGATCAATGTTTCTGTTCCATCCAGCGTTTTGCTTTGTATTTCTTGTACTCAAATATCCTCTAAGGACATCTACCTTCACTAACTTTCCCCTTTCTACCTGGCTAATTTGTACTTACTCTCCAGAACTTAATGCACACACTGTCCAAACCAATGGTACCTCATCCCAAAGCATTCCATGATTTCCCTTACGATGCCTATTAGCATGCCATTGGTGCTTTAAAAATCAGCACCAACTTAATGGTATAAAGCAACACAACTGATCATCTCACAGCTCTGCAGGTTACCTTCTGACAGTTCTCACTGGACTAAAGTCAACATGTCTGCAGGGGCATTCCTTTCTGGAGCCTGCAGGGGTTAAGGCTGCATTCCTTTCTGGAGCCTGCAGGGGTGAAGGCTGCATTCCTTTCTGGAGCCTGCAGGGGTGAAGGCTGCATTCCTTTCTGGAGCCTGCAGGGGTGAATCCCTTTCCTCCACTTTCTGAGCTTCTCAAGGTTATTCACATTCCTCTGCTGTGGTCCCTTTATCTTCAAAGCCAGCAATACTGGGTTGGTCCTCATGTCACATCTCTCTGACCTACTCTTCTGCCTCTCTCCTTGCTTTTTTAAGGACTTATGTGATGGAACTGAATCCACTTAGATAACCCATGAGAGTCTCCTATCTTGGGCCTAGCTCATTGCATCTCCAATCCTGTCGAAAGAGGCTGTTTTCTGATTCGAAAGCTTTAGCTTGCAAATCATCAGTGCACTTGATACTCCCAGAGTCCACACACAGCAATTCAGCAAGTGCTTTTGAATAAACAAATACAAAAAATAGGAACAACATCTCCCTTCAGCAATATTTTAAGGAGAAAGTAAGTCATATATCAAGATATAGCAAATACTCAATATACATTTTTTCCATCCTGGTTATGAATTTGTTTAAATTCTGGGAAACTAATTTTAATTATAGCATATAAATGTGCAGTTTAATAATGTGTACTGGGGAACTCTTTTAACTCACATATATTTGGTGTCCTGTTATTTTTGTCATTAGTAGAATCAACTACAATGAGAATAATGTCCATGCTGAAAATTAAATTCCATTTATAGAGGGAAACTTGTCTTCATAGCATGATAAGCATACATTTCAAAAGCATACAACCATAGTACATAATATTTTACTATATAAATTTATATATAATTTATAGTCTGATTTTTAAAATTATAATAATTAACAAGAATTCTTGAGAAAACATAGCTCCCAGACATCAATTCTCTGTATCGCCCATTTTACTCATTTTTAAAATTTAATTCCAAGGCTGCATTGTGGACTATACAAGAATAATTTAATCATTTTTCAAGGAATTTTATATAATTTATCATAGTATCTTAGGACCAGAAATAGTCACTAAAATTAAAGGCCCAGGAATACATATAGGCTAGCAAGTTACATTTAATGCCAGTTGTATACTTCTCGCAGACAAAAGAGACTTATTTCCACCACTTCTGTCATTTACTGTTGTATGACTTACGGTACATCACTTCAAATATGCAATCCATCTTTTAAATGAGAAACTTGGACTTGATGAATAAAGGGCCCATTTCAGGATCTCCAGGGGCCCTCGGAAAATTACATAACCTATCACAGAAATTATAAAATCTGCTAGATGAGCTCTTCTATTGTTACCCTATCTCTGCTGTCTAATTCAGCTTCATTAAGAATTACTGCATGGAATTGAAATGTTACTGATGGGAATAGAAGAGTGGTATACACACAGCAAAAAGGCTGGGGAGCAGTAATGATCACCAAGATCCCGCCCAACACTGAACTTATACTAGTTTCTGATTCTCAGTGCAGAGTTTGCATCTATTCTTCTTGCTACATCTCAGAACAGTGGAAGTTCTGGAAAATGTGATGAGAGAATATAGGAAAAGGAACAGTATCCAGAAAAGATGATTTTAAGTTTAGGAAATTGTGGCAACTAGACAAAGGCAGAGAAGATTTTTTGTTAATCTTCTAAAATCTATAAATCAAAAAAAATTGATTGACTGAAAACTTAAAAGATACAACATTTGAAGTATAAAGGGTAGCTTTAGGACAAATAACATTTTCTAGTTCAAACAGAAGAAGGTACAGACTAAAAAAAATTCTTTCGTGCAAGAAATGGTACAGACTGAAAATATAAATAGTTTCTCACAAAAATTTAAGGATTCCATGGGTGACAGATTTATAAGTTTATATTAAAGGGAACTGGGATTTTTTAAATGTAAACTCTTAGCTTTAAAAGAGGTTGTGGTTATAAAAGCAACTATGATATGCTACAAAATAGCTTATAGTCATTTTGTAGCATAACAGCACATGGCCACCCACATAACTGACTTTTTTAAATGGTATTTAAAAGATGTTAAATATTACTTGATATTTTAAGCTACAAGATATACATTGTTTAGTCAAGTTTGCATGTATAGATAATTGGTCAAAAGAGTGTTTGAACACAAAGAGATATGCAATTTTTTTCAGGCTTTAATGGAAAAAATTATCTTAGGAAACCCACAGATAATGTGCTGCTAAATTTTGAAATAATTAAAATTGACCTTTGCAGTTACATGAAATTTAAATATGTTTATCTCTTGTAAGCAGAAAATAGTGGCATCAGTAGTTTGAGTGGCATAGGAAAACTGAAAATGAAACAACTCTTTAAGCTTTTCAATGGACACCTTCACAAGGTAATTTCGCTCTTTTGTAAATAAAATAACATCTTTCTGAAAAAAGTTCAGGGAAATGCAGTCTATTTAATGAAAAATTAGTCACTTCTGACATTCTCACAAACTAAGATCTTTTGGTGAAGAATACTTATAACACATAGATTGAACTATTCCCAACCTCTTAACAATTTGCTCCAAGGGAGTTATAGACACTCCTTGGCTGCTAATGCCACACCATTAGCTCAGGAGAACGCCCAACCCATAAAATCTACCTACAACCTTGTAGAACCCAAATAATGGCTATCCCTGGGGCTGCCATTGCCAGTAAATATTCAAGACCACCGAGCTGTCTCCGTAAGAGGATTTACCTCATCACACCCTACTGCCCTTTTAGCTAAGTTATTATCAAACATTTTGTTTTCATTAGCCAACCAACATGGGCTATACTACTCCCTGCCTTTTCAATCTGTCCCAATTCACCCACAAAACCATTCTCCCCTTAGACCATAACCCTGTACTGCAATCAGCAGATTCCTCAAAACAATCCCTATACCCTGTCTTAAGTGTAGTGGTTTCCTAGAGCAATCAATCCTTCTGCAAACTTTTGTTTTCCATACCACCATCCTTTATATACCCTGTCCCTTCCTCCCTGACCCTTCCTTCTAAATCTGAATCCTCACTATGTTTATTGGTGTCCTCTAGTATTTATAAGTATTTTGCTTTGAAACATTGTCGATTATGTAAGCATCCAAGATTGTCGTTGTCAGCCTGACTTCTTTGCTAGAAAAAAAAGTCTTTCCAGATTGCTGTAAATGGCTGCATTTCATCTTTCCTTATGGCTGAACAGGGCACCACACCGTGGATGGACCACAGCTTCTTGATCTAATTGTCCATGGATGGGCACTTAGGCTGTTTCCACCTACACCTCCACACTCCTACCTACACACTCTACCTACACACTCTTTCTACCTCCTACCTACACACTCTTTGTCTCTCTTCACAACAAACTTTTCTGAGATTCTTTCTACAAATTGTTTCTTCTTCATCACCTCATTATCTAGCTTCTACTCCCATCACTCCCTTAAAACTGTTCTTTTCAAAATCACCAGTAATCTCCAATCTATAGAATCCCATTTGTCATGTTTTTTCTGATTTCTCAGTAGGATATAAAATTCCCTCTTAGAAATACTCTCCTCTTGGGCCTCCCTGGTGGCACAAGGGGTTAGGCGCCACACTGTGAAGCAATCTGTAGCCTCTGCAGCACAAGTTTGATTCCTGGCCAGCCAGGGAGCAACCCACATGGTGCAGCAGACCTCCCCCTGTCTCGCCCGCTGCTCCCCTCCGCAATGTGTTTCAGTCAGTCTGTCTGTTCTGTTCCCCACTCTGTCTCTAGTGAATCCTTTCACCCCATGCATCTCTGGCCTGTACCCTGGTTCTTGTATGCAAAAATAAATAAATCTTTAAAAGAAAAAGAGAAATACTCTCCTCTCTCCATTCTCTCTTTGAACTATTCTCTTCTCACCACTTTGAACACCACAAATCTCAGGTTTCTTTCTACTTCTTCGGTAGGTGTTTAGGGTTCCCTTTCTTCTCTCCTGTTTAGTTCTAAGAAATAAGCCAAGCATCTTTTCTTCTATCTTT